CCCCAAAACCCCAAAACCCCAAAACCCCAAAACCCCAAAACCCCTTTTGTTGAAGTGATTATTGAAACTTTAGATTGTAATCTTGTGCTAAGTCCCCATATGTTTGTGTCTACTCTTTTTGATCGTTTCACGGATGTACGTGTTGTAGTCATTCATTGGGTTTATGATGGTATTTGGCTCAATGTAAGTGTTCTTGCGTCTTGATAGACCAATAGATTCACCTCTTTCGACTTCTAAGCCTCCCAAGCTAGAAAGGTTGTTTATAGAGTTAGTCTGATACTTCTCAGAATAAGGTTTAATATCAGGCTCCTATAAATGAACAAATGAAATCTGGCTTAAAATGAATATTTCCAAGCTACTCAAATTCTACCTACCTGAGTTTTGTTGACAGAGTTATAATAGTTTTGGTGGTTGAGCATATCTCTGAGTTCTTCCTGATCTCTCTTCTTATCAACGACTTGTTCCCATTTATCCTTTGACATAGCATGCAATGAGCCAATCCTAGAACCTCCTGAGCCAAGACTATTGGCTCTGTTGTACTCTTTCCTGCATTGTTGGTCCATGTTTTGCTGCTTCCTGACGAGGTCTCTTTCGACTATCTGGTTCTTGAGGAAGTCTCCATATTCTTGCTTGAGACTGTATTCATTATTCTCTCTTTCAAGCTCTTGCTGTTGCATTCTTTTGAATGAATAGAGCTGGTTTTGCTAAAATTCAAGTTGAATAATATCTGCTAATGTTGCTTTTAGTATATAAAAGTCAAGGTCGGGCTTAGTAGTAACAAGATCAATAATTATATTTAAACTCTTGATAATCCCCCATTCTAAATTCTTTATAGAATGCCTAAAATCTATACATTTTGAAAATATTGATATTTTTGATTATGAACGAATTTTCAGTCAGAATAGGAACAACAAGGAACAAAATCAAAGCAAATATCTCGATTTGTAAAATATTCTGTGTAATTTTCAACAATTGATAAAACTTTGAAATTATTAATACTGTTAAATGAGTGGAAAGCATATTTAGTACTGTGAATCCACATAAGATACAGTTGCACTAATTAAAATTCCTAGGCGGCTCAATTTCTGTCCTGATAGCATGCAGATGATTAATCTCAGTAATGAGCAGGAGTTCGATAACATTAAGCTAATATTTCTTTAGCCAACTAGTAAATGTACCTATCCCTTTTATAGATTCTTCTAAAATAGTTAAGTCTGAAGAGTGCTTTTATATTCTGTTATAAGCCTTAAATGCTCTAAGAAAATTCAGAAGGTCTATATCAGGGGTGTAAGCTATTCTAGAGGGAATCTAGTTCACTTAGCTAATGGACTATTGTAAGTGGTCATTTAGCCTCTTTGACTTACGTTGTCTTCTTGCATTTTTTGTGTGACTTTTATGGTGCTAGGGACTACATATTTGTTGTTGTGGTGGAGAAATAGAGATTTTTGACGTCTGTTGGATTTATTTAAAGGCGATCTAAGTAACGGACATGTTCAACTGCTCCCCACTCATGGTCTCTAAAGGCTTCTTTTGATTGAATTTGAGAATAGAGATGACATTGGCTGAATTAGATAAGTAATAGAATGGATCTTAAAAATCTACCCCTCTCCAAAACTAACCTGGGTCTTGTGAGATCTCTAATATCACAAGCGAGCTGATCCATTCTTGGGAGATGGGAGGCTTCTTGGATTCGGTTTTGCTGAATTTTAGGATTAGAAAGGAGGTAGTCTGAACTAAGGTTGAGTGAAGTCTTTGCATCACCACCAGCAGGCACTTGAAACCTCACCGATCCTTTCTCTCTCCCCTTCACCGCCCTCCCTACTTCCTTCCTATCAACCCCCTTCTCTCTCGCTTGTTTCTGTTCCTCATTTTCTAGCCCTACTAAATTCCCCTCTAGGCCACTGCCTCGTGCTGCCTTTTCTCTTGAAGCCAAGCCAAGGCCAGCTGGCTGGCCTTGGCTTTTGTTTAGGGCGAAAGTCTGGTTGAGTCTTTGCCTCCTGGTTGATTTAAATTTGGGCCTTGAGTGGGTACATGGGTGGTGTTGACCTATATTAAAGGGAAGGTTTTGGGGAGTGGGCAAGATGGGTTTTGGGAGGGGAGAGGAGAAGGGATGGGAGATTAGTGCGAGAAAGACTTGGGGTGGTCTATTAGGGGTTCTTTAGGTGATTTTTATTGGATTGGGTCATGGATGGTTAGAGATGAGTTTAGGTGGAAAAATGATTTATGGGTAGTATTTATTAAGAGAAACACGGGGAAGAATATCAAAGGGAGATGAAATAAAAATCATATATCTTCCCATGCAAATTATTCCTACATCTACATTAAGAAGTATAATAATCATTAACTAAAACTATCTTTTTTATTATTTCTCTCATTAACTGTATTAAATCCTCTACCATTGATGAATAACTAAGTTTTTTTATTTCAAGTGATTCTTAAATTCTTATCTAATTTCACCGTTTAGCTTAAAAAATGCACTAATTAATCCTTTAAATAAGTAGAGGACATATGATTTTTGAAAAATATTTCGAGTAGGAAAGTTTAGATATGAGAGCCAAGACTAAAAGAGAATAGCAAGCTTTAGAACGAAGGATCAGTTAATTTTCATTATTCATGATATTTTGAGCCAGTTATATTCTCAATTATTGTCATTAGATAATCTCTCTACAAAGGACTCTTCAAAACTTCACTTATAAGTAAGCCTAGCATAAACAACACAGAAAGTGGACAGATCTGCATACTACTAACTTAGTATGGCGTTCAGAAACTAGTCCTTGTACAATGATTTCTTACATTGAGTTGTTCATGTAGTCGTAATTCTGCCGTTTGAGGATTTCTTCGTTTAAAGCATCTCTATTTGTACTAGGTGACACAAGAGAAATCGTATTTTGTTGCTAAAAATAAAGAGTTAGGCAAGCATTTATTTTTAATTTGCTTTAAGAATGTTGTAACTTTTCAAGAGCTCAATCCATTAAAGAGCCCTAATATTTTCTAAAAAATCAAAGGCTTATAAATTCTAAAGAAAGTTATCCAAATTGATAAAGACTAAATAGCACAAGTCCAAGAAGAGTTGTTGGTATTTGAAGGAGCCAAAGTGGTATCACTTACATTTTCCAGTCCGTCATAGCTGGAATTATGAGGGATCTCCCTCGGTTTTCTATTTTCATAGGATCTTCTACAATTTTTATATAAATTACTTCAAACTGCTGGCATTGTTCACAAATGATTTGCTATTGTTAAGTTGACTTGAAGAAGTAATTCTATTATCACTTGGATAACTATTAGTTTTAGGAAAGGAAATTCTTTACATTCTATGATTTTCAGGATAATTCTGGATATTCGGATTAGAATTGTGATGATAGCTATTATCATTTTGTCCCATTCCATAATTATTTTGGTACTATTGATAGTTATCGCAAATGATTACCATTATTGCAGATTATATTTTATTTATATTTAAATATTTCATTTTATCATAATCTCCAGGGGTTTTGGGGTTTTGGGGTTTTGGGGTTTTGGGG